GAGAGAAGCAACTTAGAACTGAGGAGAAATTTCCTGACAGTTAGAACAATTAATCAGTGGAACAGCTTTCCTCCAGAAGTTGTGAATGCCCCAATGTCTTGTGAATGTCTTTAAGAAGATGTTGGATAGCCATTTGTCTAAAATGGTGTAAGGTTTCCTGCCTAGGCAGGGGGTTGGACTAGAAGACCTCCAAGGTCCCTTCCAACTCTACTATTGTATATATACCTTTAATTAAATATTGTATACACAACCATACATAAAAATATTTAACTTTGGAAATATTACATGTTCAGGCAAGTATTAAATTAACTTACCAAATTTGCAATGATGTAGTGATATCCTTTTACATGTTTACCAATTGTAATAACCTAGAAGGGAAGCAAATAACTGATTTTCTTGAGAAAAAGGTACAGACACAATAAAATATATTTCATAAATTATAATAAGTGCTTGATTATGTTCAAAAAGATAATTGACAATACACCTTGCTTTATCCGGATGAATTCATTGTAGATTAAAATATGGATTTTATTTTTAATTATTATGAAAATGACTTTCAGTCCAGAAACTCTAAAATACTTCATTTTTACATTCATTTTCACCCTCAAAGCTGGCCTGTTTAAACTAGCATGTTCCATTCTTCTCCCACTGAGCAAGAAGACAGCAATATTTTTGACCAGCAACAGAATTTTAGACCGAAAGAGAATCACTCAATTACCTCTATATGTGATGCCTTTAAGATTGTTTTAGTCAATGCTATTATGCGGTTTAATGTTTTTATTGTTTTTACAGAAGGTGTTTTTTGCATACCATCCACTAGAGTTGGGCAGCTATAATCAATGTGAGTAAATAAAATAAAATAAAACCTGCCCCTTCCCCTGTGTTGAATGGTGAGATAACCTTTAGACCCCATGACTAGCTGAAATTACTGTATAGAACTATGGAGGATGGCACAGCTATCTATTAGGTGATCAAATAACTCTGCAACTTCTGATTGCTGGTCTTGCTTACATGCTCCTATTCAATTACAACACATTGGACAGTCATTTCTATATTCTATATATGTCTGAAAATATTTATTTAATGGACAACTGAAAACACAATGGAGCTAAAGTTGTAGGTGTAGCTAGGAATCTGTAGACCATTGGCATTTCACTTGGTATTGTCTACTGCTGCCCAGAGTCAATTAGAGTTGGGCAGCTAATACATTTGAATAAATAAATGTGCACTCTGTGAGGAAACAAAAATGCCATCGATTTTACTGTATTAGGCATACTCCAGATCCAAGTTCATTAATGCAACGTTTTCATATTGTGTATCTGGAGTTGTTTTAATAGTTACATTTCTATTTGATGCAACAGAAATAATTTATTCTCAGATAGCAAATACAAATAGTCCTTGTTTAGAGACTGCAATTAGTTCCATTGAAATGATTGCTAAATGTCCCAGTCACTAAGCAAACTGAGAAAAAGAGAGAGGGGGGGGGAGGGACGGAGGGAGAGAGAGAAAGAAAGAGAGATGCTGTAAGAATCGCTGGTTACTGCTGCCTCATTCAGATAAAGTTTTCTCATGCGGCAACACCATTATTCTGCTCACTCCAGCATGTTGTTCTCAGGTGCAGAAATATGGATGTAAGAGTGCTCACTGATTGGAAAATGATTTGTTTATTACCATGGACTACAGTTTATTACCATTATATTTGCAGATAGTTACTATCTGCGGTAGTTGCTAAACAAGGACTACCTACAACATTTACATTCCAAATAATAGTTTACTAATCAAGGCACTTGCCCAAACCCAGACAAATTAATCTGACACCTAGAGAGAAAATCCTAGAAGTGTTTTCTCTCTCCAAGTTAATAATTAAAATGTAATAAATATGTAATAAATAAACTTTATGTAATAAAGTTTTCTGCCCATTTATTTATTATTATATCATAACTCTAATAGTAAGACTAGTCTTGTAATGCAATAGCACAGTTAATATATACTGGTTCCCACATAAATAGAGAAGCAATGATAAATATAATCATAATTTGTTTGCCAACGCTACTAAATAAGCACACAATGGCAATTATTGGCAATAATTTCACAGTGACTTACACAAATATTGAAAAAGAAAGAGTAGCAAACCTGGTCTACAATGTCATTGACTTTATCCCGTTCACAGTCGAGAATTACTCGTCTTTCTTTTTTTATCTCCAAATCTTGAAACAATGAGCGATACGTTTCATCTTTTCTATCATTGTTAATATTCCCCACATTTATAGCAGTCACTTGCCATTTCTTTTCAGCTGCAGTGTCTAGTACAGCTTGTAATGTTGATAGTCCTGGTGATATAGAAAAAAGTCAGTATTGACTAAAACTTACATAATCTGAAATTTGCAAATATATTGAAGTAACTCTTTAACCTACGCAAATTAGCATTATTATTATTTTTAATGAAGTTATGACCATTAATTATTTCGATCTCTAATTATTTCCGTGCAAGGATATAACAACTCCTTAACTACATACATTTGTTTTCATTAGTAGTTCCTTTTGGAATAGATATTACTTTGGGGGGAAATATTTCTGTGCTATTGGAAAGAGGAAATAATATGATTAATCAATAAGTAAATGCTTTTGAATTGTTTGTTTTTCCTGTGTGTCGGGGATGCAAGAAATAAAGCTGCTTCTCTAATGGAGGCCAATGCTGAATGTACAGATTTGTATATAGCAACATTCAGAATAGATTCACATAGGACACTTAAGAAATACAAGAAAAACAATACAAATTAAAATACTGATAGTAAAGATCAATATCAAAATAGAATAAAACCATACCACCAAAGCAATGACAACAATAGTTGACATAATTAGTTGACATAATCAGGAGAGATTCAACGTAGAAATAAGGAGAGGTTTTCTGACAGTGAAAACAATCAACCAGTGGAACAGAAGTTGTGGGAGCTTCACCATTGGGAGCTTTCAAGAGTAGACTGGACTGACATCTGTCAGAAATGGGGTAGGGTCTCTTGCTTGGGTGAGGGGTTGGACTAGTTGACCTACAAGGTCCCTTCCAACTCTGTTATTCTGATTCCAAATATATCCTGAAAAAATGTTGTATTAGCCTGTTTTCAGAAGGTAGTAAATGTGTGGATCTAACCAATCCTTGAATGGAAGATTGTTCCACAAAATAGGCAACAAAACTAAGAAGCAGCATCTGTGTGTCTTCTGTCTCCTTCACCTCACTGAGACAAGAACAGGACCACTGAAGAACAATGCCTCCAATTTCCAACTCTCAAATCCAAAATGATATCATGGCTGATACTCTCAAAAATCACCAAGAAATCTTATAGGGGTACACTACTCCAATCCAGTCCTCTACAAAAAAAGTCCCTAGTTATCGGACAAAGTAGTTTGTATTATTATAATGCTCAGGATTAAATACTGACCAAAAAGGTCCAGATAATCCAATTCCTATAGGTTGCTTTGAAGCTAACGCCCCACCAACTTCTCAACAATTTCCCCCAAAATGAGAGGTTGGAGATCAGACAATAGTTGTCAAGAACTGAAGATTCAAACCAGCCTCTTTTGAAGGGAGCACATCACGACTCTTCCAGGACCACAGGCAACACACCCTCTCCCACAAAGAGGCATTGATCATCTTCCATATCCAGCTAGTTATGCTTTTTCCACTCGTATTTCACCAGAGAACATATAGCAATAATAATACTTGAAAGCACTCTAATATTCCCATCAAGACAAAATATCTAACATTTTAAAGTAAGGCTAATGAAAATCCAGTTTCAGAAACTGAAACTTTGGAAAGCCACTGACAATGTAGTGAGGGACACATAATATGGATTTTGTAACATTAGCTAAACATAGTTACTTTGTATTTAATTCGACTTATTTTTTCTTTTAAAATGATGTTCACGCTCATTACAGACTGAAATATAGGAAAACTTTTATCCTATGGTTGCATAGATTGATTAGATAGCTTTTAACATTCCTAAACTGAAAAGATAATTTACGGAAGGATCTGCTGATAAGGAACAGTTTCTTAGTGTCAAGAGGGATCTGATTAGCTAATTTCGAACAAGCTTTATAGTTGATTTACTGTGCAAGAAGGGGTTACTTTTATCTTGATCAACCAACTTTCCTCTTTTGTTTTTCTTTGTTGTGTTACAAAGGAATGCAAGATGGATCTCTTTTTCATGGGGAGAATGTTTCATTGCTTTTAAATGATCTTCTGACTCAGTTGCTTATTTGGAAGGTAAATCGAGGCAGAACCTAGGGCCAGATTTAGCTATCAGTAGTCAATAGAAAGACAATTTGCTGAATGATCTAACTCAATTTATGATGGTTGCTATTTTGTTTTCGATTGCCATGCACACAGTTACATAAAAGTAACAGATTAATTTAGATTTTCTCTAGAATGCTGTACATTCTAGAGTTGCTCAGAACCCCTTTTTGTTAGAAGGGCAGATTTAGAAAATTGGTTAATAAATTTAGTACAAGCCCCTTCGTGCTGTCACTGTACATCTTATTATAGTATTTAGAGGATTACTTGACACTATCCACTGCACAACTGATTACTTCAGAATACAGAAAACATTTTGCTAATGTATTTTGAATTGCTGCAGTTTTATGAGGTGGCTGTAATTGACTCAGTTGATGTAACTGGGACATTGTCTTCAAGTGCTAGGCTACTTGCATGATCACAATCTGCAGCTGAGACAGGGTATTCTGAAAGGAGAATTGCAAATGAATGCTACCATGGTTATGAAGTCATTATCTGCCAATTGTGATAACAAGTATTTTCCAAAATCCTTCATGATAGCATCATTTCTGCACCGTTTTCTTTACTTCAGATGATTCCATGTAGTCCTATAAAAACTTAAAGACTCTGAATTTTTTTTGCACTACTTGTTCCTATCTCTAAAATGGACAATGATTGTTCAAAATAAACCCAGAAAATGTATGGGCAACTAGTTGATTTTCCTTAGCCTAAATAAACAAACAAACATGGATGTTATATTTATTCAGTAAGTTGATCCTACAACTTTAACGTTAACACTTATTATACATTATCAATAAAAGAATGGAATAAATATATACAAAAAAGACTATATTGTTTCACGTTTAATGTCTTCAGTTCTTCAGTGACTTACAATAATTATGTTTCTCATCTCTCAACATTCTTGCTGAAAAATCAAAGGAAATATTATATAATCATCAGTAGGGAGACTTTGGTGGTCTTTGAGCTTGGCTGTTGGCTTGCAAACATTTCATTACCAGGCTAGGAGACATCATCATTAGTGCAGTCAACCTAGGTAACGCATTGAACCCACTACTATACAACCAATACAAGGATAATGAAAAGGATAATACTCCCATATATCAAAAACATCTCAGAAAAAAAAATAGCATCGCCATAGTACATGAACCAAGTAACATCCTCAAAAACATTTTAAGTAAACAAGAAGAACAACAAGAACAAAACCCCAATAGCCGACAAGAAAAAAATATCTACAATATATGTAAGGACTATAACAGCCAGTATGTAAGACAGACTGGCAGAAAAGCAGCGGAGAGCATTCATGAATGCCAACTAACAGTCAGAAGACACAATGAAAATGTCTTAATCTTACAACATATAGACAGACTCAACCACAATCTCAACTGGGAAAAGTATAAGCATCCTATAACAAGCTAGGGAAGGCAAAAAATGCTAGGGAATGTCTGGAAACCAGCAATCAGTCATCATGGATGCATAGCAATAGCAATAGCAATAGCAATTAGACTTATATACCGCTTCATAGGGCTTTCAGCCCTCTCTAAGCAGTTTACAGAGTCAGCATATTGCCCCCACAGTCTGGATCCTCATTTCACCCACCTCGTAAGGATGGAAGGCTGAGTCAACCTTGAGCCGGTGAGATTTGAACCGCTGCACTGCAGATAGCAGTCAGCTGAAGTGGCCTGCAGTACTGAACTCTACCCACTGCGCCATCTCGGCATAGAGATAAATGGCATTTGTACACCATTCAAGAGACAATAAAAAATCTAGACTTTACAAATATAGCTGCTGCCATCTGAGCAGCTTAGGCACAATCATCACATTCTATAATTCTATGAGTAAGACAAAATTGTTACATGAAATATATTAAAATTGTAATACAAATTGTTTTGACTGGGGAAAATATCCTATCCCTTTTTCTTTGGGATTCAGCAGTTGAAGATCCTATTATGTCTGAGGATCCCTCCTTCAATGTCTCAAAAAGGGTGAGAAAGAAAAGAACAGAGTACTGAGGAAATTGAGAGGCAGAGTAATCAGAACCAAAATGACATACTATACCAAGGAGGTGGGGGGGCTATTGCTTGAAAGAAGATTAAGCTTGCCTACCACTAATTACTTCCTTCTCTCTGAGAATGACTCATTCTGAAAATATTTAGTATCCTTATATTTCTCAGTGAAAAAGATCATTCAAACCAATACATCACAGAATAAGTTGGAATCTCAGCAAATCAATATAAGGGGGGGAATGATAGGAATATAGAAGATATGGCTGTAGTAAATTCTGCAATCAAATTTTGGAATCTCACAGGTTAAATTGGATGCAATAGAAAAATGGCCTCTCTCTAGAACAGAGGCGTCAAATTCCCGTCATCACAGCAGTGTCACATGACGTATCGGAACTTTTTCCTCCTTCGCTAAATGGGGCATGGGTGTGGCCAGTGTGTGATGCATCCAGCTTACGGGCCGGGAGTTTGACAGCACTGCTCTAGAGTAACTAGTTATGATTTCCTTTATCTCTTTTCTATATAAGTCCATTAGTCCATTATTATAGCCTTTTGGTAATTGTATGATAAATACCAAAGTATATACAGGTAGTCCTCAACTTATTTGTTTGTTTAGTAACCTTTCAAAGTCACAATTGAACTTTAAAAAGTGGCTTATGACAGTTTTCAAACTTCCAACCATTGCAGCATTCAGATGCTTGGCAACTGACTCATATTTATGACAATTACAATGTCCCAGGGTCATAATCACCTTTTGAGATCTTTTTGACAAGCAAACTGGACTGGAAGACATTTAAAAAGTCATTTAAAAACCATGTTACCAAGTTAACAACTGCAATGATTTATTTAACCACTATGGCAAGAAAGTTCATAAAATGGAACAAAATTCACAGAACAACTGTTTTGCTTAGCAACAGAAATTTGTGGTCATAAGTCAAGGATTACCTGTCCAACAGGTAATCTGGAGCAGCATGCCTATCAATGGATTGACTGATTTATCATTTAACTTCCTAGCATGGCCTAAACTATTCTGTTGTCATTA